AATGTTTTGAACGGACGGTCGACCCTGACACGTTTTCGTTTACTATCTATAGGACGACGTTTTTCACGTAGCACCCATGATCCTGTGTGTTTTGCTTGTTGCTGAACTGTTGCTTGAACTCCGATGTATTCCCCTTAGATAAACCTTACCAAGGTTCAGTTTCGTCATTTAGGAATATAGAAAGAATAGAAATATATAAAATCAACGGGATTTATGGTTAAGTCTCGGTGGAGTGCGCTCAAAAACTGCGGGGCAATTAATTTAACACCTTCGCTAAAATTAAGAACCGCTAGAGATGCAGACACGGCAAAGAAGCGCGCGCTTGAGTAAGGACGGCGGAGAGTGAAGAACGACACCTGAATCACTTGCTGCGCAAGTGTATTTACACGTACGGAGGTACAATAATGCACTTATCCACTTAGAACGAAAAAAAACATGTAAAGTGTATTTTTGCCCGAATATTGGTGTATATCTGGAAAGACTAGTCCTGGATCTATGCCTGGAACCACTTGCTTATTGAAATGGAGAAGAAAACAAGACTCGGCACTGTTCACATCCACTGCCCCACTTTTCCGGTACTGAGGCAGGTTCTTCTCGAAATTTGCCTTCGTCGTCCACAGATTTGATCCTTCGACTCTAACCCTTGAAACAAAGTACACTACATGCATTTGTTCGAGGGGATGCCTAGGCAAATAGGGCCTAAGAAATTGTATGCTAAAACCAAAAAAAATAACGTGACATGCTCTAAACACTTGGAATTTATGCCAATTAGATAATTGTTCAATCCAACAGAAATGATACAGCCCATCCACCTGCTCCAAAACGAAGATTCGATGACAAAAATGGAGACCAATTTCGGTGAAACTCCTCTTCGAACCATGGTCAGCCGTGCGTTGCGCAGTTCTCAACGAAGGGGTCCTCTGGAAAGGGGATCGTATTCTGGGTTGATGAAGGTCAAAATGTGAAAGAAAAGTGGGTGTATTTTTGGAAGTTGAAAGGGATCGTGTTTGAGAGCCCCCCCCCCTTCCCTCGAAGGGCGATTTGGAGGAGAAATGGGCGGAGCTGGCTGTGTCGACTGGTCTCACAACATACATATAGAAGCGCATGCTGGTGACTTGGTAGGTGGGTGGGGGGGGTAGTCATATCCGAGACCTATAAAGAGGGTCGTAATTTTCGAAATCTGCGACAACGCACGGTTGACTATGCGACCCTGCCACCAAACAACCAAATAGGAGAAGGACACACCGCCCCCCCTCGAAACACCTTCGATTGAAGCTATTCCGGAACCGAATAGAGACATAATACTGTGGACGCGCCGGTATTCTCACCAACGAATAATCGCGTATAGAAAAGACCAACAGGAAAGCAAGTAAAGAATACCTATCTCTCCAGATTCAATTTGGGTAGCAGCGATACACATACCCTCAGCAGTTCGTTCCCTGATAACCCATAGTTGCAATTTCATGCGGGGGAAAAATAAGCTAATCCAGCCAACATCTATCGCTGCTTATTCGCTCATGAAAGAGGATTCTTGCAGCCGCAGTTATCCGCTCCTCCATGACGCTTCCACTCAAACTACGCAAAACAGCCGATAATGAGCTACCAAAAATACACTTGGCATTTCAAGCGGCACATGAATGTGGCATAGCAAAAGGGAAATGGAGGAAAGGGAGGAGACTTCCAAAGGCAAGATGTAATTTCCCCATGTCCAACGAATACTGCTCGATCTTCGGGTAGAAATTCTTAACGAGGAGTGCACAAAAAAGTCAAATACTGCTGACGCCAGTCCGATTCAGAAAAAGTTGGTAACAATACAGAATAGCAGACTCCGGAATGGAGACTTCTTTTGTGAGATTCTTTGGGAAGATTGTGGCCCACGGCGTAGGCTGTGGCAATCGGAACAAAAATAGCAGCAAAAGCACCTGTTCGATTAGTCAATGTGGATTGATTAATATGGAAATTTGGAATGCAGAAAGCAGCGAGAAACGTGAAATGCATCGCTAACTCGTGACTGACGCGAATCCATTCCAATGAGAGCCTTTTCTATTTACGTGGCGGCTGACATCAACCCTCCGGCTAGACAAGCATTCATTGAAAACTTCATGTAATGGCCATCGAAACACAACTTAACTACGGTGAAATTGATTGAGGAATTATGGCATCCCTCAACACTTCACAGAGAAGACGTACAATATGAAAGCTGTAACTTCTAAAAGCATTCACGAATTCTAATAATTGATTACACACTCTGGCTGCGCTTTAAAAGGAAAGGATCCGATGCCGCCCTTCAAGAAGTACGATTAGGTGTTCCGTCAAAAGGCTGATCTCAAGTTTATAATTAAAATCTACAAAACGATTCTCTGAACGGAGTTGTAAGGCAAGCAGTAGCGGTGGGGACTTTCGCTCAAGGCGTCGTAGGATCGACTCCTGCTGTGTCCACTGTTTTTCCTTTTTTGCAATACAGCTTAGAAGGCTGCTAAAAGTCGCTGTAATTCCAAAAAAGCAAAACAAACAAGGGACCGATCCTACGACGTTTTGACTGTGAGTCCCGACCACTACCGTTGCGCTGTTTTGCTTCATAACTCCGTTCAGAGAATCGTTTAGCAGATTTGGAAGGTAGATTTGAGATCAGCGTTCGAAGGCACATCTATAGTATACATCTCTTCTTGAATGGCCATGGCGACCTAGAAGCCTTTCCTTGTTGGTGACACCTTTATACACACGGGTGGTGCTAGTAGGTTGCCACTGAACTCAGGACTATCTAGAAAGGGCACCTATTCATTTCTTATACCGCACAAATACTGTTCATTTAGAGGTAGGTGAAATTGACCTTTACTTACCTTTTGAATGAACAGCATGTTTGTATTTTATAATACTCAGGCAACGTTTCGCCATAGTAGATACTGTCAATCTTTTCTCATCTGCACGTTCAGCTGCTAAAAATTACTGAGGGAACTTGAATTACCCTCGACACGTATAGGTCTATGTAAGAGTAGGATAATGACCCTACTTCTATGTGAAAATGCAATGTAGGGAAGGTGGCGCTGTTATCACACACTCGCTCCTGGGACCAAATCTTGGATCCTGTCCAGGCCAAGCGCGCCTTTCATCACTTCGTTCATCCAGTCAAGGTAAGCTGGACGTTGGTAAACACTTGGGAAATGCGAACCTCTTCAAACGGCTCCATACGACCCCCATCCCTTCCTGAAAATCACAAATACGATCCCTCTCGTTAGTGAAATTACCCAACGGACAGTTGAGCGTGCAACTAATTAATACCAGATTTGTCTGAGAGTATGACACAGACTTGTACACCGACTTGCCCCTGCAGGTCATTATAAAGGTCAGATCGTCTTCACTCACTACTACAATTCTGAATAAATAAATGCATAATGCAACTTAAGAGGTTGGTCAACACGGAGCGCTTTATCGCTTTCTTTCATATGTGCACCTACTCAATGTCATACTATAAATTTTTTTTGGTGACTGAGAAGTGGAAATATGAGATGGTCAAGACGTGAGAGGTGGAGATTCTGAGCTGCTACGCTCGACAGGGGCGTTTTTTGACGCAAATTAATATAATAGTCCACCACGTTTTCGTTTTTGTAAGCTAATGTTTTCTGTAAGCTCTGTAAAAATCATAAAAAGAGAACCTTCACTTGTTTTTGTACTGCAAAAAGCGTGTGATTTGGTGCTCCTCTACGGATTTTGAAAAGTTCGACAAGCACCGTTTCCACGTCATGGTAAGATAAAGCTTGTCGGGTCCTCGCATTGGCTTGAAGCTGAAGGCAGCTTAACTGAAATATTCCTAGCTGAGCTAATGAAATGATATGATGTCGAAATAGGTGAGCTCTGCTAACTGAATACCTTGTAATATCGGAATTGAGCATAGGCTAATTCTGTCGCAAAGCGTCGGATGTCGTCTCCACTAAATCCATTTGTAGCTTCCGCTATCCGTTCGAACGATACACTCGAATCCATCGTAGTATGCTATAAAACGCCATGGAACTGATGCTGTGAACCAAACACTGTTTTGATCATTTCGAACAAAAACTGCCGGAAATACACGAAGAGTAATAAGATGTAAGTAAAATTCATTGGATAAAAATTGACCGCGGATTATCCCTTTTTCGAAGGTTTTCCTTGTTCATGAGGTCAGCATAGCTATCTGAATAATATCTGCGTCGAAACTACTAGAACACAATAGAGTACAGCTAAGAGTCGTCGGCAGTCGTTTTATGTTCTATGTGCAAGCCATACGAGCGAGCATACATGTGAACTCGACCGGATGAATACGGCTAAGGATGGGCTCCATATTTGGAGACAATGAGGATAGTGAAATGCGAAGGCGTGGAAAATGTAAAATTTGCCAAAATTCCCCACTATGCGTTTCACCTTAGAGTTGGGCACCGCTCGCTACCATCGTTTCCTCCACCTTAATTAGCGGTAACGCTGTCCCATGAGCTCTTCGCGTGCTAATTTGAACTTCCAGCCAATATATTTTGATCACCTTTTTAACCTAAAACAGTTAGCGCCATCTTAACCCAGATTGTGATGACGCGAGAGCCTTAGACGATACTGTGGGTGTTGACGTCTCAATCGACTAGAGTTAGCATCAAGCAAAACGGCGGCCACTAGTGCCGCATTGCAAAAGCATGGAGACATGTTACAAAGGAATTTGTGAAAGGCACTAGAAGTTCACACACGACTTCCGACTGAAGAGGGCCGTTTTGACTACAGCTGCCTCAGAGCTACTGGAACGAAGTCGTCAATGGCTGTAAGAATCCGGAAAGGCTGCAGAGTCCGCGATCCGTCGCAGGTTTCGCTGATTTTCGCGATTTGCGCGATTCAGCGACGGATCGCAAAAATTGCAAGTGTGTGAACATTTGAAACACTGAATATGAAACAAGTGGAATCATGAGCAGTCGTCATTCAGCCATCACTATCAAGCAGAAGTGGCGGCAGGATTGGAGAACACCTTGCAGTATTGATCGGGCACTTGTGATTTCCGTGACCCGTCGCGTGAATCGCGCAAATCGCGCAAATCGCGCGAATCAGCGAACCTGCGACGGATCGCGGACTCTGACACCAGCCTAAGAAAGGCGCGTAAAAAGTTGTCAAGTGCGGATTAGGCAGCTCGCCATAGCAGCAACTTCGCGCAATACCAAAGCCGTCTAAGAGTTACCGTTGAGAATTTATCAAGTCATGAATGTTGGGAAAGAGCTATGAAATAAGAAACATTTTTGCAACATACCAAAAGACGGCTTTTTAGCATGGCCAGATCGAGAAGCATAGTCTGGAGGCCAACGTATATCTTTTTCTCGAACCTAAAACCAGCATTTTCAATGAAATATGGGGAAAAAAGCACTGTAGGTTAGACGAATAATCCAATTAATGACAACTTTGCACAATTAGAGCAATTAGCGTCCGATAAGAGCGCCGAGTAGCACAGTTTATCAAACTATCATCAGTCTCAGCCTAACGATATATTATGTTAATCATCGTGTGACTCTTGTTTAGTTTCGACACCACGGAGAACCTTCGTCACGGGTCAGTCAGAAAAGACTATGACCAGACAGCTTTTCTATTCAGAAGCATGCATCAAACCTTCTCATGAAAGCGGGGTCGAGATCCCACGGGCAATTGGTCGCACACACCAACACAACCTTCGAAGTGGATTGGAGTCGTTGGATTTGGACAAGTAATTCTGTCTGAAAACAACACAGGGTTTTATTGTACATTAATCTGAAAAATAAGATGCACTATAAAGTGAAGTAAACCTAACCGTAACAGCAGAAGGCTTCATGCAACCTTCACCCACCTTAACACGGCGGTTTGCGTCATCCTCAGAAGAAGATCTTGTTCGGCACAGGCTATCTACTTCATCGATGAAAATGACTGCTGCTGGAACGACGTATGAAATTAAGAGTATACCAACATTATAAAGCCTTTCCCCCCCTCCCAACAGTCCCATCACAATGGAAGAGAGCTGAGTGAATTTCCATCTTTAGCACATCTCAATGTTACAGTACCAGATTGCAAAAACAAGCTCACAAAATCTCCACGAAAACGTAAGGTGGGCTTACTTTTCTTGAGGGCAACAGCATGATCAAAAAGTTCGCGTATTAGGCGCTCTGACTGACCACTCCATGTGGATATAAGATCCGACGATGATACCTGGCACAGAAATTTGAATTTCCTGAATATTGGAAAAATACAACATGGCAGTAGATTTAACGCACCTGATAGAGTTGTGAATTAATTTCACGTACAATGGCCTGTGCAAGCGCCGATTTGCCTGAATGATACTAGCTGATCAAGGGTATTCGCATACGTGATGATACAGCTTGAGGATCCGACAACGATAGGGTAACGAGAAGAAGCGACGTATTCGTGACAGAAATCTATGTGTTGGAAAAACGTAGTGAATGCCAATCTCCCATATACCACGAGCAGTCACATTTTGCGACTTGAAACGCCAAGAACTTATGTCCTTGTTCCATAGATCCATTTTTTAAATGCCGACAGAACTGTTCATGCCGTGTTCATGGTTAACTGTTGTAGTACAATCAAGTTCTATGCTATGCACATTGCTCAGACCTCATCAAGACGTACAAAGGTAAATTTGAAAAGTAAGTGAGAAAAACTAAGCAGCAAGCAATGAAATACTATAGGATAAAAGACACGGAGCCTCTCATAGAAGAATAGAGAAAGAGGTGGCATATTGCAGTTGTAAGAAAGAAGTAAAGCATCATGAGGCGAAGATCTCGTATTGTCAAAAATAGTTTTTTTTTAACTAATTAACTTTGATATACATGTCAATATTGACATAAAAAAGTGAAGGCTCCCTGCAATGAGACATGACTTGCTCACCACTGTGCTCTCCCTCTCAGCGCCACCCGACACATTCTTTTGCTGTCAACTGCTGGTTACAGCCTGCTCGATACACATTCTGTAGTCGCGACCTGAAGAATATTGGAAAAATCGAGCAAACTTTCATCCCTCATCACTTTTGAAGCTCACATAAGATTAAAATACAGGGTCGAGAATGTCACTGGCGCAGCATTCTTGTAAAATACGTCACCAATAGCGCATCTATGAAATCGCCCCAATCATTCCAGGTATTGTTTAGTTTATTTAAGACCTACACTGGACCGTTCCCTCAGTACGTTTCCAACCAATATAAGTTAGTACCAGCAGATAGGTTTGGGAAGAAAAACGTGTAGAGGGTTCCGGATAAAGAAAGCAATAATCTCACGAAGCGTGCTGTAGCCATGAAAGTTTCCGGAGCAGCTTTTCACGCTCTTACTCTTTCGGGATCAATTCTCTAAGTTGCAGCGGTTTGAAAGGAGCCCAAAACAATGAATAATAGAAAATTTAGCTTGAGTGTCACCTATAACAAATTCTCATCATAAAGACCAAATATTATTGCTTACCGGTTCCCGGTGGTCCGTATAACAGAACAGCCTTCCATGGCTTCAAATCTGATGACAACCCACTCAGGTACTGTAATAGGATCAACCAACGCTTCAAAAAGAGCGGTTTTAGCCTAAACAGAATCGCTATCAAGTCGATCTCGCAGTTCAAAACATTTTACAAGGAGCCCAAAAAGACAGAAGAAGATCAAACGAAAAGTCCAGATCAAGCCAAAAAACGCACCTCATCAAGACCAATGATATCACTAAGTTTAGGGAGTTCGTCCAGCTTGGTCACGATGGTAGACTCAATCGCCTGCCTGAGATAAAGCCATACAATTTCAAAGGCCACAACAAAACTGAAAGACATGACTTTAGCAGGAGCGAAGACATACCTACGGCTATTCGAAAACGAATCCAACTCGTCTTTTGGATTCGATTGCGATGGTACGATCAGTGGTGAAGAAGAGCTAGAAAATCTAGTAACAATTTATCGTCAGCAGAGAATCGGCGCCCTGACCAGTAGGATAAAGCAGTAGAGTTACCTTCTATCACTGTTCTCTGAAGTGGGAGAAAAATCGGAGGGAGACCTGTCATTTGTCATCATTTCGGAGACCTCTTCGCTCTTCGCTGTCGAGAGCGAATTCGAAAGGTTCTATAACAAAGATTTTGTGAGTATCTGTCAGAATCTATTCACGACAGAGCATGAGTGCTGTTGAAGGTAACCACTTCATGTGCCTTAATTTGGTACAATGGGTGGGGATGATGACCACTAAATATTTTTAATCAAGGCATTCTAATTTTATTAGCGCGGAAGAGATGACGAAGGGACGAATCGTCAATGATCGCTCTCAAATTGAGAGCTGGGTTGAAAATTCGTGTCGTGAAATCTTCAAAACCGAAGCTGCGACGAAAAGGGATGACGAAGGAACCAACGAAAAAAACCTGTGCATTTTTCATATGTTGAGAAAGAGCGGCGTCCAACAAATCCTGTGCCAATCTCAGCGTGCGATGAAGACGCCGACAAATACCACCTTGTTGGATAGCTATGTTAAAGGCAGCCAGGGATGTGAGCAACTGGAAAATTGTTACATCACAGCTGTTCAAAAAATTCCTATCACTGATTCTCAAAAAACAAAAGCTCCGAACCTTGACAATTTCCTCTTTCGTAGTGTCGACTCCGGTTTGAGCCGCTTGCTCGAGAGACAATGAAAATCGTCTAAGCCAGTCGTAGATCTCTTCGTCGGACCACGGATCCATTGGACTCGCGCGGCAGTGTGATATCCACAAGCTATGTAAAGACGGTTCATAATTTACACAATCAAGCAAACCCCCACCCTCTCTCAATTTCGAGCCCGCGCGAGTTCATGCGCGAACCGCGCGCAAGCATTGCCTATAGTCAGCGAAAGTACAAAGTTGCGGAATCCGCATGATATGGATTAGATGCGAATTGATCGATGGAGTCAGTGCACAACGGGATGGCCTAAGCATTGCTTGTATTTGACAGTACTCTCCAAATTCTACTCAATGCTGCTTTTTCAAGGGAAGGATTCCTTAGTTAAATTCTTGGCTTTCACTGTTCGTCTCCAAAACAGCTGGAACAAGTCATGGTGCTAACTTAGTTGGGAGGGGACCACGCGGCGGCGCGGCGCTTTGCTCGCCTGGCGCTCTCTCGAGCGAGATAGTGTGAATTCGAACACACCATCTGCCACCATGGGCGGTATTCAATCCTTCCCCCAGGGGGATATATCCCCCTACTCTGATTCAATCCTCTGGGGGGACAAAAAAGGGTTGCGTCATAGGACCTAGCATACCTCTGTGTTTCTACCTGCCAGACAGTTAGAGCAGCGCGACCCCTCAGGGGAAAGAGTGCTTCATCAGTGGAGGGTAGTAGCGCTGCTCTAACTGTCTGGCAGGTAGAAACACAGAGGTATGCTAGGTCCTATGACGCAACCCCTTTTTTGTCCCCCCAGAGGATTGAATCAGAGGAGGGGGATATCCCCCTGGGGGAAGGATTGAATACCGCCCCATGTCAAGTGACTGACCTCACCCCCACCCCCTAGACTGCCTACAGTCCCCCTGGCTCACGGATTTCCCGAAGTACGCAAATTCGCCAGGCGAGCAAAGCGCCGCGCCGCCCGTCCCCCCCCCCCCAACTAAGTTAGCACCCAAATCATCATGCATTTCACGGGTCTTGTCTGAAAGGTTCGCAAAAGGGCTCAGGCTCCAGTTATAGTATAGTCGGACCGACTGTTCGATCGCATAACCGAGTGTGGGGTAGATATGTATCGATTGTATGATCGTCCGACTCATCTGATCGTTGGTCGCTGTGATCGCATGGCATTACGTTTGTACCCCACACTCAGTTGTGCGACATGATGCTCGATCCGACTAGAGTATAATTGGGCGCTATGGCATTGCAGGGGCATTGTGGTGGCAACGAAAAACCGCGTAAAACGTCTCCTATTTGTTAAAAATGAGAATTGCCCTAGGACGGGTGAAAACTTCAAGGCGCGTGAGTGTTTCCATTTTCTCCCGAGGTTCCTGCCCTTCTAGTTCTTTTAGTTCTTTTAGTTCTTAAGGATACCCCTCTATTGCGATAGTGCCTATCGTTGCAGCCCAATGCAGCAGATGGCCTGGCGGGCCCATTGTCCACCGTGAAATATACCGTGTCTCGCCGAAGCTATATCCGTTCAGATCAGATTACCAAATAACACGGAAATCTCCGAATCTCACTGGTCCTCTTATTCCCTTCGCCAAGAAAGTCACGATTTGTCTTTGTTTTAGAAAAAGTCCTCATTCCCAAAACAGAAGAAAAACGTGGCTATTTGTTGAGCCACGACTACTTTTGGGTTTGCATCGTGAAGCTAGCGGCACTCGACGTGAACACCCACTGCCTAATTGATTCGACGCTGAAGTACTACAGTAAGCTCAACCGGCTGCCCGGAGATTCCTTCTCGTTGCGCTCGAGACCTCTGACCGACACTTTTTCGAAATCTTTGTTTGGGTGGGAGCGTTTGTGGCTTCGGCTGTAGGCTTGAGGTCCCGTTTATATTCGCCCTTTTTCTAAAAGTTCAAGGATCAACAGAGCGAACCAGGCAAAAAGGATAGAATGAGTCCACGGAGCAGCCGCGATCGAGAGCTGTGAAGTTCTCTAAAACGCTAAAAGGGCATTTCGAACAAAAGAACAAACCGAGGTGCCATGGGAAGAGGGGCACTCGCCGACGCCACGCAACGCAGTATGTCTGCGCTCTCTCTGCGAGGCAGTGTCAACTCGCAAATCCCATGTGAATTGGCTTGTCCTCCAGCTTCTTACGGATCATTCAGCTTCTCACGCATGCTAAGTGACTGCCCTCACCCCCAACCCCCTGAATTGGCTACATTCCCCCTGGCTCACGAATTTCCTGTTGCCGCAACGCCGCGCGCGGCGGCTGCCCCCCCCCCGAGCCACATTGCGCCGAACATTGCTTTCAAGTAATTGTTTGTAATTGGAACAGAGGTCGAACGAAGGG